ATGCGACATTGAAATAACAAACTGAACTGGAAGACCAACTCGTGTTCTTGAAGTGGGAAAAGTGTTGTTTTGTTTTGAAAACAATGGAAAGCGACCTAGCTACTACACTCTTATCGAACATGGAGAAGAGGTGTCGGATGGTTATGACCAACAAAGTTTTCCTAGCGGCAATTTTCGTTGATTAAAGGATTAACTTGAAAAATAGCCCATTCATAACGAACGAAGGAAGTGTGTGGCTTTGGTAAGCGAAATGTACAATCAAGTTGTGGTTTATTTGCTCGTCAACTACCGTAAGGTTGCCATCCACTGCTCACGTAGTCTTCCTTTACCTTCCTTTAGCATCCTTTCGACAAGCAATTGCGTCTTCCTAGGATCATGAGCGGTGATCTTACGGTGATTCCCGTATAACTCTGGAACCATGTGTTGAGTCTGCTGAAGATATTTCTGGAACCATTTAAAAACTTCACCCCATTTGAAAAGGGCACACAAGTCTTCTGTGAACAAACGCTTCCAGTCCCTTCTCTCGTCACCCGACAACATCACATATGATGGGACCGTGAGGGTCAAGGCATGCGAAACTGCGCACGGCGATGGCGCCCTGAGAGAGCGCATAGAGATGTTGCAATGAAACAGTCGCATGTGATTGAATACATGCGTCGCATTAAGAGAGCAATGCGATTAGACAAAAAAAATTTTTTTTTTTGGTTTGTTTTCCGTCGATCTTGTTTTCCGTGCTGAGCACCAATGCTACCGACGCCAGGGAGGCAGCTCCCACACCTGGACCCTACCTATCGACTCATCAACTCATGAACCGGGGACCAACGGCTTTACTTCCCTTCCGAAGAAAGGCGTGATCAGAGATGTTATGCCTCAGAACATCCTGGCGACGGCGACTGGGATTGAACCCAGGCCTGCTGGGGTGAGAGGTAATCACGCTTACCACCGGCGCCGCTTACAAAAAAAATTGAAACGCTTGAATTTGTTGAGAGCGTGTAGCTTGTCGCGCGCATCGTTCTGGTCTCTCTTTTGTACAATTAATGTAGCATACCATGGATTTGAGAGTCATGCGACGCTCTGTCTCACAGCTCGCTGTCGCATTTGTGTACGCGTTAGATTTCCGGAAGCCTGCCTGTAGGAGATCGTTTCCCTTCCCTATTATCAGTCCCTTCTCGCACAAAAATTTCCTTCCTTGCCTAAAGCTTCTCTCACAGCAAATTCCCTTATTTCCACACCACATCCAACAAAACCCCTCCATCGATCAAATCCATCGTTTCTACTTGGAACAAACTGAGCTACCCAGAGTGCAACGAAACCATCCAAGCATCAATTTGAAAAAGATCTGGATGAACATATCATCGAGAAGGCTATCGAAAATTGACGATGACGCTCGGCGGCTGACAGAGACTAAGCTTCGACGATCTTGTACGGCCAATCTTGGGTAACATGACAACAGTGATAAGAAATTATATTTTAAAAACGTTCATTAAGTACATCAACTTTGTTAATGTGAATATTAATAATAGAATCGATGCAGGCGAGCTAGATTTCATTTCGAGTCTAGATTTTTAAATACATATCTTGAATATGTTACATAAGGCGCCTCACCGAACCGGTAAATAGAATACGGTGGCCAAATCCCACACCAGGAAGCTGAACCACAACCAGGTGGTTGGTGCAGCCCAAATGCATCGTAATGGACGACGAGACGTACATTAAAGCGGACGCAAAGCAGATACCCGGCCTTGAGTTTTTCATCGGCAAGTTCCACCTGGATGTTCCGAAGATGCTCCCGAAGAAGAAGGTCGACAAATTTGCCAAAAATTACTTTTTGTGGCAGGCGATCTGTGGGTGTGGCAAATTCAGCAAGCCTTACATAACGACCGGCACCATCTACGTCCAAATACCGTATACGTGATAATGTTTGCACCATCGTACAAATAAGGTTCCCGTTTCACCTGTGCATACAATGCCTTGGTTTTCTTTGCATGCACGAAACCTATAGCTCATACCGTAGTAGGCTGTGTATAAAAGAAAATGATTTACTTAGTTTGACAGTTGCACCATGGCGAAGTGGCAGCGTATTCGTGAATTGTCCCACGCGCAAATGTCGCAAAAAGACATTTCAATCGCCGTGGGAGTGTCCCGGTGGACCATCAAAAGGGCTTTAGACCGAGAAAAGAAAGGACAACTATCCGCGAAGGTGGCCACAGGTCATCCGAGATCAGCTCGGGTTCCGAGGGTTATCGCTGCCAGGCATGGCAAATCATTAACATTTATTTCGTGCATTCATTTACATTCATTTGCCTCTAACTTTTTCCATCAACAGAATTCCGTTAAATTTGTAGGTTTTGATATTAACTACAACTTTTGTCGATAACTCAAATCTGTACCACTTATGCATGACGAACTAGAGCGGGCAGAACTTGTTACTATTTTTCAGTGAATGTAATTTACATTCACTGAAAAACATAGGTAAGTTCTGTTCGCCCCGGTTCATCATGCATAAGATAAAAAGCTTTGAGTCATTCAAAACGGTTGTAGCTAATATTAAAACCTACAAATGCTTCATACATCATTTCATGGAATTCTGTTAATGAAAAAAGTTAGAGGCAAATTAATGTAAATGAATGCACGAAATGAATGTAAATGATTTGCCATGCCTGATCGCTGCTAACAAAAGGAAGATTCGGGTGAATCCAGTGCGTTCAATAAGGAAAATTGCAAAGGAACATGGGATCAGTAACTTTACGGCACGGAAGATCGTAAAGGAAGATTGCGGGGCGAAATCGAGGGCACGGAAAAAAAAACTCACATGATTATCACCGACGAGAGCATGTTTACCGTCGATCCCGTATCAAATTCCAGAACCGACCGGTATATTAGTTCTCTTCCGGTAAAAGACGTGACCGACGAGCACAAGAACGTGTATCTGACCAAGCATCCTACTAGCGTTATGGTGTTTGGATTGGTGGCTTCCGATGGCAAAAAAAAATGGACCCGGTATTCATTCCAGAAGGCGACAAGGTCATCACGGAGGCCTACATCGGGATTTTAAGCAAGTATGTTCTTCCGTGAATCAAAGAACAGTACGGTCCGAAGCCAAATGTTGTATCTCAACAAGATGGGGCTCCGTACCACACATCGAACCGCACTCAGAAGTGGTTGCAGGAACATCTTCCGTTCTGGGCGAAGGATATGTGGCCGCCATCCAGCCCCGATCTTAATCCGCTGGATTACTCAATATGGCGCGTCATGAAGGCCAAGGCCTGTTCTAAACGCCACCTGAGTACAGCAAGCCTCAGGCAAACATTGACCCGTACCTGGAGAGAAATGGATCCAGACTAAATTATTAGAAGAAGCCGTACATTCCGGAAGCGTGTGGAGGCCGTAATTGAAGCAAGTGGAAACTCGATCGATGATTAACATAATTTAAGACTATGAGAAACATCCCCCCTTTAAATAAATAAAAAATTCAAAACGAAATTTTTGAGATTTTTTTTTTTAATTTTGACATTACTCAATCGTGCAAACATTATCACGCATATGGTATATAAAGAAGTATGCCTCCAGAAGCATCTACTGTCCTTCCTCAGGTCCCACGAAGGTGACACTCTGCTTCATCCGGATCTGGCACCGTGCCATTACGCGAAACCGGTGATGGAGTGGTACGAAACCAACGATGTTGTTTTTGTGCCGAAGGAGACAAATCCGCCAAACTCGCCAGAACTTCGCCGAATAGAAAAATTCTAGGCGAATTTGAAAGCAAAGCTCCGGAAAACAGGAAAGGTCTGCAAAAATGACAAGGATTTGAAGAAAGAGTGGATGAAACTGTGTAAGAAAGATGGCGCAAGTGTTGCACAGGATTTTATGGGTAGTATTAAGTTCAAGGTTCGGGCATTTCGCTTAGGTGAGGATGTTGAATAAACCAACTGTTCCAAAACATAGCTAAAATGTATTTATTTATTCCCTGAGAGTTTCAAAAATATCCGACCTAAAATAAATTATTCGTAATCATTTTTGTCTGTTACATTTTTTTCGAGTACAGTCTTTAAATGGTATGTGTTTTCCTTGGGTCGACTTCCAAATATAATTTAAATTGCTACCCCTAGAATGAAAAGTGAGGTAAATATTTATCTTGATCCAATTGCCAAGCTCGGTTACCTGCAATCATTTGGATGTTCAATTTTAATTATGGAATGGTTTAGCCCCTTTGACCGACAAATATGCAGATGATGCCTAAACACAGCATCAAATGAAATAACAGTCAAACGAAGGTGAATTTTCTCGGGAGAGAAAAAGATATTTTTAATTACAAATTTCTTTCCCTCTCCTAATTGGGAATAAGACGATGGGGGTATGCAAATAATCAACCCCAGTGTTGCTTTATTCATGATTGAACAAACAGTTGCATCGTTCCAATGGGAATGATAACTATCTGATCACAATCACAGAAGCATCATCACAGAGAATGTGTAACGTGTTTCGAAATATCAACGAGACGTTGACGTGCTTATCGGAACATTGCAGAAGATGTTCCGCTCTACTTGTATCGACAAACTGTCGTGCTTTTATTGGCAGGTTGTTTCAACTTTGAAAAAGATTCCTGGAACAGAGAAGCCTCTCTAGACAGCCTTCCTCCACAAAAGCACACGCTCCTGTCGAATCTATATATGTAGGTTCCTAAAACAGAAATCCCCCTTATAGCGCGGTGGTTGGTGCCGCCTGCCAAACTCAACTAGTTTTTTTTTTTTTTTTTTTTTTTTATATGATTAGGGTCAATCATAAACTTGTCACCTATAGAAAATCAGCTCAGTTTGGTTGGAAGACAGCTGATAAATTGCGGTGGGAATACGGCACCACCCACCGCACTATTCGGGGGATTCTCGTACTTACAACGAATGTGAACAAGTCATCAACCGCAAACGTTCGTGGATTGCTAAAGCTGTCATCATTTTCTAATGGGTTCTTGTTGCTTTTCTTTTTATCTCGTTTTATTTCAGAATCTTCAAGTTTGCGTCACCCGAGGTCCAGGCGTCGGAACACCTCCTACATGCTTCCGTTCTGTCGATGGTGGAATTTGACGACGACATCTTCGCCGCCGGAAATTGCTTCGACTGGAATCAGCACACAGCCAAGAAGGGTTTGTTTTGCCCCTTTGCCTACCGGTTGCCGCCTCCGGACCAGGGCGCATCGCTTGCCAAGGATCTCGCAGCTGAGTACCATTACTTGGGAAACACGTCGGAATGGTTTTTTCTCGCCCGGAAAAACGCGGAAAAAGTCATACGGGAAAACGAGCAGTATATTAAGTGTGAGTAAAAGTTCCTTCCTTTAACTACCTATGTGTGCGCGGTTTCTTCCAGGAAAGAGAAATGTGACAAGTAAAACATGTAGCAGGTATGCTTCATTATGAGGGCAGAAGACCTGAATTCAAGGAATTGTACTGGAATAATATGATGGAAAAGTTGCTCTCTACTCAAAACATTTTCCTTTCATCTGAGCTTATGGTAAATGGAGCATAATTTACTTCATTCAGAAGTTGAGTTTTCGTAGAAACCCAGAATCAACACCTCCACCCGGGGCAAGCGCGTATGGTGTACATTGCTTTTGAAGTTCGCACAAGTATGGGACCGATACTATAAATGGCTTAAAATGCAATAATTAACCTCACAGAACTTTTTATTATGAATAATTTTAATATGAGATATCAATTTGTGAATGAAAAAAATCAAATGGAAGCAGATTGAAAAGTCTAAACCAGCGTTTCTCAATCTATGGTTCGCGACCCACCGGTGCATCGTTTGAAAAATTCTTGTAAATTTCTGCTAGATGTAGCGCATATAAAATTAACGCTAGATTTGGCGTAAATTTAAACGATATTCCGTGGAATTTAAGCGCAATATCGCTTAAAATAGTAATATTGTATGCAAACTTGTAAACGATTTCGTTGTTTATGCCAACTGTAGTTCAAAATTAAACGAGGGGAAATTTTACGCGATAGTTAAAATTCAGAATTCACCATTTTTTAAAAATTAATCTGAATTAAAAATTATGTTGGGATAATCCAAATGTTATTAAAATAACATTCTATTGGTTTTAAGTTTTTCTAATTATTATCGTTAAAATAAGTTAACGATTACGAAAATTTAACTCAATTTTCAACCAAATGAATTGAATCATATTTTCTTGAATACTTTAAAATCATTTACAATTTTTCATTCCATGTTGTAATTAATGGTTTATTTGGGAGATTTTTAGGATTTTTTGGCGTTTTCTGGACTATCAATTTAGCTTTCAAAAATTTCAAGACTATTCAACCGTTTTCACGCCATCAAGGTCAATTTTATTGCCAGTTTGGATATTTTAAGAGATTTTTTACTTTTTATTTGGGCATTATTTGGCGTTTTAGGACCATTGTGACATTTCAGATGTCATTATTAATTTTTTTATAAAAGTTAGAGAGATTTGTTTTGATGCCATTTTGGTCACATAAAGCTAGCTTCTAGTTATTTGGTGGTCATTTTCAAAATTCGGACGTTCTGCACTGTATTAAGATCACCGATGTCGGTTAAATTTTACCTGGTTTTCGAACAGCTGAAACGATAAAATAACAAATTGCTATTACACACAGAAAAAAATTCTGAATTTTAACTTTCGCGTAAAACCTCCCTTCGTTTAATTTTGTGCTATACTTGACATAACCAGCAACCTGGCATACAATATTGCTAATTTATGCGATATTGCGCTTAAATTTACACGAAATATCGCGTAAATTTATGCCAAATCTAGCGTTAATTTTATGTGCGCTATATCTCGCAGAAATTAACATGAACGGTGTGTGGCAGAGTTGAATGTATTTTTTGGAATGCATAAAGCCAGTTTGGAAATTTTAAAGTAATTTTGGTCTTAAAACATCTGTATTCAGTATTGGTGGGTCGTGAACTTATATTTTTTTTAAAGTGGGTCGCAATCGAAAAAAGTTTGAGAACCGCTGGTCTACACTAAGCTCTTCTCAACTTGATACTTTCCAGTCGATCTCCAGATATTTTTAGAATTAAAAACTGTCGAGCGTTGGAGCATATTAGACTCAATTTTGTCAAATGTGGATTTGCTTGTGAGTTGAATGTTCCGGGCATTCCCTCAGTATCACGGTGTGAAACTTTATAACAAAAGAAAATGCGTCGCTACATTTTTCACCACTTGAAAATATAGCTTTTTTTAACCATTTATTTGACACCTTTTTGAATCCCCTGAGGGTCCCGAACAACTATTTGTTTTACCACATAACCATAAAGTAAAGAACAAACTTGTATGTGTACAATCAGTCTGCATCATGCTCTCTTGCTGTGCGGATCTATTTGCTCTTTGCTCAAGGAAGTGATACTACTATTGCTACAACCCCTCGGTGTTGTGTCGCTCCTGAATATCCGTGCTCCCAGATGGTGTAAGCCTATGAAGTAGGATGACAGACGCAACGGCATAGACGATAACATATGAATTGAAGCCAAAAAGTCATTGTCATCCGATGAATCAGTGAAGTTCAGATTGATTATTTTCTTAAATTACTTGTTGAACTAAGATTAATTCAATAAAATTAGTGATTAAAGCCAAGTAAGGATAATGATATTAAATATGAAATTTTTTTCAAAACGAACTCAATATTCCATTGTAGATTACATGCTAAATAACATCTGTTGAACTTAACCTAAATGTGCTGTTCTCCAAATCGAGCTAAAGGTAGCTCTGAATCGAACCAAAGGTAGAGAGAATTAATGCTAACTAAAACGTGAAATACTTGTAAATTTATCCTAAGACCCAGCAGCTCTGGTCGCAGAAAGTAGTTAGGGAAGGAAGTAGCCAGGAGAGAATTGACTTAACGTAAGCGACAAACTACATTCTGTAATGTTACCTAAATGCTAAAAAAAAATGCTATTCTTCTGGCAGGATATTAAAATATAACCTATATTTGAAATCTAGAAGACATCCTCTTTCTTCTCCATTGATGAAAAGTAACAACTATCTTAGTGCTAAATATTACTAACAAAAAGTCATTCTAATAAAGAAAAAAGAAAATACCTGCAAATGTTATACCATGTTTGACTCTTCGATCCTTGTTTGGACACTACCCGAGGTAATCCTGCTTGGACATCGATTTGGAAAATTCCACTTAGATCCTTCGGATTCTTATAGTAATCTGCTTGAAAATCGACTTTCTTCTGCCGCCATGGCACATAAACGCAAAAGGAAAGCGCAATCTCTTGATCCCCCTTCTGATGAAATTTATTTGAAAAATCAATTTGATTTGCTTACGGATGATGAGAATGATCTATCACCCTGGCAAAATTCAATTAAACATTCCCGACTGAATGCCAAGAAGAAAAGGTCCCCTCTTTTGTGGTAACCACTTCTGATTTTCATGCTCTTAGAATAGCACTTTTGAACTTCGTTAAATCCAATTTTTCAGTTCTAATTGCCCGTCGGTGTGAATGCCATGTGTTGGTTGAAACCTTGTAGGGATATCTCTTCCAGTATCTTACTGAGAAGCAACATAATTTTTTCACTTACGACACCAAAACTGAACGTCTGTTCAAGGTTGTCTTGAAAAGTCCGCTCATTGGTGAATCCCTGGATCGGATCAAAGATGAATTGAGAAAATTACTTGGAGTTTGTTGGCAGAGACTGCACCTTTCTAATTATGAAGTGCACCTCTATCATAATCAGTATACTCACCAACATGTTCTCAACCTAAAAGAGCAATGACTTCTTCCAGTTTCGGATCAGCTTTCAAAAAGTAGTTTCTGTGAATAAATTGCCTTACGCAGTCTTTATTGCGTCAACCGTTTGCAGATACAAAATGAGGATAAATTCACTGTGTTTCTTATGGATCTTATACATTTCACTGTCCTATCTAGTGTTATATACAACTTTACAATCCACGCGGTCTATTTCACTTGCCTATGCCCAATTGTGTGGTGAGAGAATTCGTTCTCCCTCTCTTCTGACTTTTGGGATTTCATATCCCGAGTAGAAATGAATGACAAATTTATATTCCAATAGAGTTGAGTCATTCCAATCAAACAAAATGTACGACGGGATTTCTAGACTTCAAGTCTAGTGAACTAAACAACCTTAAGGCCTTAGAAAAAGCTAGCCTTATGCTCCATGTCCGAGTGAAGTGGGATTGGGTCACTGAACAAAATCATTGCTATGTAATTGCTACATGCCCTAACAAAGCGACAACAGACCAAATGAACCGCTCTCTAGGCGGTAAGTATACGTGGACAACAAAACGGGGAAACAACTGCCGGCACTCCGTGGCCATCGGGGTTTCGAAGACGATACCTTTCCAGGTTGTCGATATGGACTCCGAGCTTCCCATACTTGGTGTCCAGCTGGCGGCACCGGCGAACATCTCCGTCGCATGTGCATACCTGCCATGCGGACGGCTGCCAAACCTGCACAATCAACTCAGCGAAGCCATAGCTAAACTACCGGAACCGCGCATCCTGGTTGGGGATCTGAACGGGCACCACCCAAGCTGGGGCTGCCCCCGCTCCGACCCTCGAGGTGTTACTCTGGTCGATATTTTCGAGAAGGAAGACATGGTGATCCTGAATGACGGTATGCCCACGTACTTTAACGGGCGGCATACTTTTGCCATCGACGTCTCTGCTGTCAGCCGCTGCTTAACCGGAAAAACTCAGTGGAGCACGAGCACGGATCTCTATGGTAGTGACCACTAGCACATCAAAGTTCATCTTTCGACCGCCATCTTCCCGATGACAACATGGAGGCCCTGATGGCGCTATGAACAAGCGGACTGGGATAGCTATGGTGAAGCCTTTCAGTCCTTGTTACTACAGCGTAATCCGAACAACATTGAAGACTTTTCAGAAGTGGTATACGAAGCAGCAACAGCAACCATCCCAAAGACCAGCAGCGTTCCGGGGGTGAAAAGCGCTACGCTGGTGTAATGAAGATACGAGGAAAGCCGTTAAAGCCCGGCGTAAAGCACTTCGCCGTGTAAAGCGCCTTCCTATCGGACATCCCGACCGCGAGGACGCTCTCCGTCACTGCCATGAGTCGCACAATCAATGCCGGCAAGAAATCCGTGTCGCCAAACGAACTAGCTGGATGGACTTTCTGGAAGGAATGAATTCGTCACAGTCTTCAGCCGACTTATGGAGGCAAGTCAACGCCCTCAGTGGGAAACGGCGCATGACACCGCTCCACGTACACTGAAAATAAAATTTCGTTTATTCAACGAAATCGCTCGTTTGTTCTACGAATTTATTAGTTGTTTTCTGCAAC